ATATATATATATATATATCATAATGCTTTTGAGGTGCAAAAAGGGGTAATGCTTCAAAGTTAACACACAAGGGTGAATTAATTATTTAAAAGAACATATAAGGTTTAATTTCTATATAATGCAGAAAAAGAGAAAACGGGATTTGGGCGTAAATAAACGGTTTTCAGGTTTTTCTAGTAAATGAACTAAATTTTGCAAAACTAGGAAAATGATTTTTTTATTATTAAGTTTAGCTCATTATTTGATTAACTTGACGGTTAATCATTAACTTGATAATTTATATTAATTTATATTAGTTAGTGATTAACCAATGCTAGTTGGTAACTAATCAATTTCAATTAATAAATTATTAGTTAAATAGTTACAAACTGTTGATAAATTGTCTCGTTCGTTTCGCTGATTCGAGTTTAGAATTCGAGTTGAGATGTGATTTTATGTGAGAGCTTTTTACTGTAGCAAAAAAGTTAGATGTGACTGTTTGTGAGAGTTTTTTATTGTAGCAAAACTCGAATTCTAAACTCGAATCAGCGAAACGAACGAGACCTGAAAATAAATTAAGTTATCACTGATTAACTACGGTAGAAAGATCATTTTCCTAAAAAAAAAGTTTAACTATTTATGTAAAAAATAAAAAGTTCAATCATTTATTAAAAAAAATGGCAAAAAAGGCAATTTGCTTAATTTTTCAAAAAAAAAAAATTCATGGAAATGATTACAAGAGTGATAATAAATATTATAAATCACTGTTGTGCATTCTATAATAACTTTTGTAGTCACAACAGTATCTTGTAGTAACTTTTTTTACTCTTGAAAAAAAGATTAGTAATGTCATCCCGTTAAACTCCATCGTTTATCAAACAAATTTTGGGATCACCAACTAAACGAAAAGGATAGGACCAAATTCGACTTACCAACATGATAATGACACAAAAGTTTAACATAAACTATAAATAAAATAGGGAGAACGAAAGAAATAGCAATTTTGAGAGGACGTAATAAAAATTAATAACACACGTTAAAAACAAGTTTAGAAAACAATAGATTAGTTTAAATCATATTTTTAACATCATTAAAATACCTAGCATACCCTTTTACTTAACTAGATTTGTCCTCCCTTCTCTATCTTCCAACAAAAAAAAAAAAAAAAAAGCTTGTCGCAAATCCGTCGTCCTCTTCGACAATGGCAAACGCACGAAGATCCGTGCCGTGATGGAGATCCACAACCGTTAGATCTGCTTGTCACGAGTTTGAACTCCACAGCCATCCTCAATCTTGGCAATGTTTTGGTTTGACCAGATCCGATAACTTCGCGCAAGGAGCATCAATCCCTTCTCTGGCGTTGGCGTGACTCATGAGTTCCGGTGGTGGTAGAACACAAAAGATAGAGATCGAGCGAGTAGAGAAAGAGGAGAGAGAGAGAGAGATGTCATGAGATTAGAATGAGAGGAGAGAGAAAACCCAAAAAGAGAAAAAATGAAAATAAGACCCCGTTTACTTCGCCGATTCGAGTTTAGAATTCGAGTTTTACTACAGTAAAAAGCTCTCAGAAACAGTTACATCTAACTTTTTTACTGCAATAAAAAGCTCTCACATAACATCACATCTTAACTCGAATTAAAAACTCGAATCAGCGAACTAAACGGGCCCTAACCGATTATAAACTACAAAGATAAAATGAGAAACACAAAATTAAAATTTTAAAAATCTACTATTTACTTAACAATTAAAATTATGCTATTTACTACTTAAAAGTTTTAAAAAACTTCAATATACTACAGATCCCGGATAAGCTATTTTTAATTTTTAGTATTATATAAAAATTAACTCTAAATAATCACTATTAGGTTAAACAATATGATAAGAGTGCACATTTGATCCTCTATTATATTAAAGAAATAACTTAACACATTAAAAAAAATGTAAAACATTATGATAACCCTATAACTTCCTCCACCCCAAGAAAATATCAGAGAAAAATCACATACAATTCCCATACAAATCACAATGGTAGTAATACAAAAAAAAAAATAAATCACAATGGTAGTATACCAGTAAATGGTAAAGTGTAGAGAACCGAGTTAAAAAGAGTGGACTCGGGCGAGTTGACAAGGACCCACCCGCGACTCGTTCTACTTTTAGGTCAAGTTGGGGTTGAGTTGGTACTCTCTTTCTTTAAAAAAATTAACAACAAAAGAAAGGAAAAGAAAAGAAAAGAAAAGAAAAGGAAAAAAAAAAAAAAAGGATTTCCAAAGAGAAACGAGGGGAAACCGTGGTTTGACTCTGCAAAGTGCAAAGCCAGTGAAGAAGAGAAAACCGGAAGAAGAGGAAGAAGGAAAGGGCAAAACTTAGATCTGAAACTACACTCTCCTTTCCAATTTCCATGACTGATCCCAAGCTTTTCATCTGAAAAATCCCTCTTTCGTTTTTCATTTCTGGGCTTCGACAAACACAACCCCACAAAAGAAAAAACAAACAAAAAACAAAAAAAAACAAAAGAAAAAAACGTAATCGTAATGCCACGCCCTTATTTTCACAAGCTGGTTCTCTCGTCGACAATCCACGCGAAACAGCTGGTACCCTCTTTATCTTTCTTGTTCTACTTGTTGGTTTTAATGGGTTTTCATTTAATCGCTTTTTTTTTTTTTTTTTACATTTTTTTTTCCGTAACCTTTTCTGTGTTTTCTTCCATTTTTTTTTTTGAAATTTTCTTTTGAATATTTTTATTTTGGGTTTTGATTTTCCATACCCACTGAAGATGATTTTCCATACGTTTGAATAGAGAGATCCTAAAATTCGTTTCTGGTTATAGATTAGGTAAAGGTAACGAAAATTGAAAAGGGGTTGTTGAGTTATTTTGATTTTGTTTGGCTTCAATAGACTGTATTATAGGATTTTGCGAACCGGAGTTCTGCCTGGTTTTGCAGAAATCTGGGTAGGAGATAAGGATGACGAAACTGAAATTTATGTGTTTGGCGTTGTTTTCTTGAGGTTTAGAATAGTAAGATCTTTAAGTTGAGCATAAAAATCTGTGCTTGGAAATAGGCAAGTTTTAGTTTTTGACATTCAGAAATGGAAACGTGAAAGTGCATTTGTAAAAGATTAGGGCTTGTGACACTGATTTTAGACGATGGATTTTTTTTTTTCTCCCTTTATAATAAGAATTTCCATGAAGATTAATAATTGAGGAGAATTGGTTTTGACTAGGAATTGGATTTGAAGTAAATAGTCTTTGTTCGAAAGAAGTCGTGTCTGCTGTTTTTAGTTATAGGCAGCAAACAAGAGATAAACTTGTCTTTTATTTTTCTCTAGAATTTATTATGGTTATTTGAACCCTGTGATATATTGAAATGAGCTTCTTCACAGTGGATAATCTGGTTTTGCGTTACAAGTTTTTACCTTTTTTTTATTAATTCTCAGAAAATAAGTATATTTATGATGGGATTTTACAAGCTTAATTTACTTTTATGATTTTATCTAGTGCAATTCTCTAGCTACTTTCTAAGGCGAGAATGTTGAATAGCAAGAAAGGATATTAGGAGCCTAATTCTTCTTCAAAATGATGTGTGCTTCTTCCTGTTCAATTGTATTCATCTGCAAAATTCTAAGGTTTGATTTTTTCCATGGCGGATGTAGTGTGTTTCATCTGAGACTAAGGGCTTGGCCAAGCGATTTACATGTCTTTATCTTTGCAATGAGACAGTCATTGCTTATGCATTTTTTTTTTCCTGGAGAATCTTTTATTGGTGGTTTATGTTTGATATTTGTTTGAAAGAGACAGAGTTGAAGCAGTTTCTCATTGATCTCTTTTATTTTCATTTCATTTTCTAGGAAAATCTTGTTATGTGAGAAAGAGTTGTCTTGACTCTTGAGTAAGAATTATATGGTTAAACATAGAGGTTATAGATTTGTATTTATGTAATTTTAAAATAATAATTCTATGGTATGAGTATCATCTGTATCCTTGCAAAATGTGCATCATCCATTGCTGCATCTGATTTATTGTCGTGGGTTTTATAAAGCAACAAGTTATAAGAAAAATGCATGTTTACGAATTCACTTGCAATATGTAGAGGTAAAAGTTGGTCTTCTGCATCTCACTGAGAAAGCTCCTATTATAAAGAACGTATAATGTGAATTAGAAGATTATGGTTGCGATTTTGTGGTTTTAAAATTATGTATAGTAATTGTACGCAGCACTTGAGAATTTTAATCATCGTTTTCCAGGCCATATTATAAGCATGTTACTTTATCTCACTATTAATAAGTAAAATTGAAATTTACTAGTTTTGTTTCTAACACCTTAGCATATTTTCTTAAGCTGAAACTGCTATCATCTTAATATATTATGGGGCCATCTGGCCATGGATATATTTACACATTTGAATGTGATCTTATACTTCTATGTATTTTTTGTTTTCATCTTCCTCTTTCTTGAATAGTTTTTGTTCTTCTTCATGGGATATGTGGAGACACTGGTTATACTCATTGTTGTCATTCTTTGGTGCAACTTTTGGTTGTTAAGGCATTGGCTCCCAGATCTTAGTTTATTTTTTGGATACTATTGCCGTGGTAAGGCTTGTCAAGAGTGCATTATCCGCGCGGCTTATGCAAAGTTATTTCTACAGGGCATATAAGTCTTGCGGCCTTAATGATTAGATTTCATGTCATAAGCATTTGATTCCAGCAAAGGAGCCTTACTTGATTTATGTAATTGCAGAGGATCCCGGAAAATTTTGTCAAGAAATTTAGGGATGAGCTGTCAACCGTTGCTACAATCAATGTCCCCGATGGTCATGTTTGGCGTGTAGGATTGAAGAAAGCTGATAACAAAATTTGGTTTCACGATGGTTGGCAGGATTTTGTTGAGCGTTATGCGATCCGTGCTGGGTACTTCTTGATATTCAGATATGAAGGGAATTCAACATTCCATGTTTATATATTTAATTTGAGCACCTCTGAGATCAACTATCAATCTAATGCTCTCTGTAGTCCCCAAGCTATTTATGGCAGCAGATATCAAATATTTGAAGAAATGGAAGATGATGATTTGGATGCAATCTCAAGTTTTCCAACTCAGCGCATGGCTTCTGGTCCACTTAAAAATAAGCTTTTCGGTGAGCGTGCAGAGCAACTGACATCAGGCAAGGTTTTCAATCCTCCATCACTACAGAATTTGTTCAATGGCTCTAAACTTAACTGCGTAAATTGGGGCAATGAAGGGAATTTGCATCCAGCGAAGGGTGCTGGTAATTACCAAGCAGAAAACCAATTGACTCGTGATATAGGTGTTCAGTTTAATGTCATGGAGCGTAAGAAGGTTGCAGATGAAGTCAAATTGCATGGTTCAGAAGAAGAATTTCGAAAAACTAAGAAAGTTGGGAGGAAGAAGCGGAAGCTTGATCCTAGTAAGCTCTTTAAACTCGACTAATATTTCATTCTATGTTATCCTTGAAATTGAGTTTTATATCATATTATTTCTACGGAAATGCAGATGGGCAGGATTCTTCCATCAAGCACGAAGAAGACGGAGATATGCGTTTTAGATTTTATGAAAGTGCTTCTGCCAGAAAGAGGACCGTGACAGCTGAAGAAAGGGAAAGGGCTATCAATACAGCAAAAACATTTGAGCCTATTAATCCTTTCTGTCGGGTCGTTCTGCGCCCTTCTTATCTATACAGGGGTTGTATAATGGTGAGTCGTTTCAATATGCAGTGCTGCGCATAGCGTCATAAACTTGTGATGTTACATGCTTTAGCTTAAATATTCCTCTTTTTTTTTTTTTTTTTTTTTTTTTTGGTACGCAGTACTTGCCGTCCTGCTTTGCTGAAAAGAACTTAAGTGGAGTTTCTGGATTCATCAAACTTCAGACCTCTGACGGGCGACAATGGCCTGTCCGATGCCTCTATAGAGGAGGTAGAGCTAAATTGAGCCAAGGTTGGTATGAGTTTACATTGGAGAACAACTTGGGGGAAGGAGATGTTTGTGTCTTTGAGATGCTCAAGACGAGGGAAATCGTGCTTAAAGTTACAGTTTTTCGTGTTCTTGAAGATGGGGGACTCATAAACCAACCACCACAGCACAGTCACACTGTCAGCCATAGTAAACTAATTAGAAATTAATGGTTGGTAATTTCAGATGTCCAAAAAACCGTAAATCAAACAATGCATGTTCCTTTAGGTAGTGATCTGATTTGTCAATCTGGGATATTGATGCTGTTGTTTAGTACTCAATATACTCTGTCAGAATGACTTCATAGTAGCCTTTTCCTTTTTCCTTTTTGTTTTGGTTTTTTATTTATTTTTATTTTATTATATTTTTTTTTTGAGTCTAGTGTTTTTAATACAAATTTTTGTTCATCTTCATTAGGGTTGTAAATAGATTGTGCAATCTAGTTTATATCAAACTGGACTAATATGATTGATCCTAATTACATTCCTCTCTTCTCTCGCTTGATTGGGTGGGAGATCTATGGCATTATGTATCTATACATATTATTTTTATTATAAACATTTTTTTAATAATAAAATATGTTTTTTAACTTAAATTTGATTAAAATTACAGTGCCGGTGCAAAACAGAGTGATAATGAGCGCAAAAATGGCAAATGTCAAAAGGGCAGGCGAGTCAAGGACCTTTTGAATTTGATGTCCTAACTAGATCATGTCCAAGTCAGAATGACTTGATCAGAATAAAACTGCTCCTGCAAAAGTTTTAGGCACAAAGATTCTTTTGTTTGGTTGCTAAGAAACTCAAAGATTACGAAGAAAGAATAGAAACAGACGTTACCAAGTTAGCTGACTCAGGTTGATGTGATATTCATTGTAGGACGGTTCTTCTTTTCGTTGTTTAATCCATATCAATAGTTTTTCCTTGATTCCTTCACTGATATATATGTTATATATATATATATATATATCTCTCTCTCTCTCTCTCTCTCACTTTTAATAATGGATGGGAAATATAAGGAAAGTGGTTGGGTCATAGACTCAGTATTCTAGATCAAGGTTTCACATTTCATCTTAAGAAAAGAAGAGAGAGAAAATGAGGGTAGGAAAAAGATAGAAGAAAAGGGCCTTCTGGGTGTCTTTGTCTGTCTTGGAAGGTTGATTCTTTTGAGCTGTGTTTTTGCCTTAAAAATTCTGTAGTGGACCCTCCCATGCTTACTATTAGTCCTTCCTTTTCTTTTAGGTTTTGAATTAATTATTTTCTGTTTCTTTCTTTTTGGCCTTAGTTGATCTTCTTTTACTCCCCTCTCTCTCTCCTTTTTATTTTTATTTTTATTTATTTTGTGTTTCTTCTATTGGATGCTGCTTTTGCTTGTGAAAAATTTAAGTCACGATCATTTCACCGATTCGAGTTTTGTTATAGTAAAATGCTCTAAAAAACAGTTACATCTAACTTTTTTACTAAAGTAAAAAGCTCTCATATAAAATCACATCTCAACTCGAATTAAAAACTCGAATCAGCGAACTAACGGGCCCTTAGAGTTGTTCTATGTTCTTTATTGCACCCGCATCGATCCACAAGTTTATCATAATTTTTACAATGATAATATCTAAAGTTTGCAATTATATCGTAATATATTGCATTTCTTTTAAAACTCACAAATTTATTATAACTTCTATAACTTTAACGTTCAAAATTCACTAATTTTAATGTAAAATGCACAAGTTATCATTACCCAATACGGTGTTAGAAATGCTTCTCCGGACACCATAAAAATTCTCCAAAATTTAATGAACAATTACTTTATCAAATCGTGCATGCTATTATAATTTTGTAATAGGGGAAAAATTCTAAAACTCTTTTATACAGATTTTTGGAGTTGGTGCAATTAAATACTGTCCGTATGATAATATCAATCTTTATTGCTATGGCCTATGGTGATCATAAAACATAAGATTATTGAATCTTTATCATTAAAAAAATAAAAAAAAATTGTAAATCTTAAAGAATATGACACAATTATACTTGAAAGACCGACTCAATTTTCACTCCACCACAATTTAAGCATTGAATATTCTGTTAGACCATCTTCAATATAAATACTAATATTTAATTTATCATCAAAAAGTATAATATGGTGTGTTATTTTCATTTTTACTCCAAAGCATAATGCTATTTAAAATACTAAATCTATTTTTTTCCATAATTATTAAGCTTTGAAAGTTATAAAAGTAAACTTATGTTTTAAATAATTAGAAAAAGTAAAAGTTGCAATGATTACATGAAAAAAGTAAACATTTCAACCAATAGCAATCAAATGTCAAATTTCTCATATGTTATACTTGGTGAGAAATTTACCACAAAGTATATTTTATGAAAAATTTGACACAATAAATAACATTGCATTAGAGAGTGTTTTTTACACTCAAATATTAAATTTGTAATCGGCACATCAATTATAATGTTACATTGGAGATCTCTTAACCATGCATACTCTTTTATTTGAGGTATATACCGAACCATAAGCACAAGTTATAGGGGGGAAAAACGTCCTTACTCTTGCACATGTTGCATTAAATTCAACATTGCACAACCCATTAGCCATGCATATCTTTTATCTGAGATGTAGAGTATCGGACTAGAGAAAAATGTTAGTATCACTCATTTTATCACTCTCTGTATTTATTATTTGACATATGAACTCCACTAACATAATATGTTATTATTTAAATAAAAATTAAAATAATAAAACTCATATGTCAAATTGTAAATATAAAAAGTTACAGAGAGTGATGCTGGCCATTCTCTCGAACCATAAGCATATCTTACCCAAAATCTTACACACACATGAGCTTGCATGCTATGACAAAACATTTGATAATGGATCTTGGGCCTATATTGGGCATCATAGCACGGGCCATCAACAAACCAGGACTGAAAAAGCATCCTTTTGGACTGATAAAGCAACTTGAACAGAAAGCCTAAACACATTGCCTGAAAAACAAAGATTGAGAATGGTCAATAAACAAATTAAAAGCCAACTTGGATCTCTCCACCTTACTCAACTCAAATGAGTGGCCAAGCTTTATTGACATTCCTTTGGGGTCTTTACTTTTCCATATGGCAAGAACTAAAAAACCCACAAAAAAAAAGAAAAAATAAATTAAGGCCAATCTAATCTACTTCTGATTCTGTATCTGAACCAACCATCCTTCTCCTACCTTATCCACCACACTTGTCATCTTTATACATTCAACAAAGATAAACCCCAACTCAAAACACCACCACAAAGAGAAAGGTAACAACTCAAAAACACCCAAGATCTCTCATCATCTTCTTAACTTTTCACCAACTGGGCTTTCTGTTTTTCTGACTAAATTTTCTCTCACTTTCAGGGAAACCAAATAGCCACAGGAAAATAATAACATGGCAAGTGCCTCAGCCACACTCTCCACAGTCACAACTGTGGCTACCCCCAGAACTAGAAAGGTGAACACAAGGAAAGTGCATTACTTGACAGGAATGAATTCCTTTGCAGGGCTTAAAGCAAACAACAGTGTCGTTTCTCTGGGCCTTCCTGTCTGCACTGAGCAGTCGTTTGCCAAGATTGTGAGCTCCTTGAGAGCTCCTACGGCCAAAACTGGTGGTGGTGGTGCTTTGTCTTCTAGTTGTAATGCTGCTGAGGAGATTTTCAGGATTGCTGCTATCATGAATGGCCTTGTGCTAGTTGGTGTTGCGGTCGGCTTTGTTCTCCTGCGGATTGAAGCCTTTGTGGAGGAGTCTGAGGCCTGAATTTTCAGATACTTTTTTTTACTGCCATTTTTTTTTCTTTTTTGTTTTTGCTTTCTAAAGTTTAATTCTCTCTCTCTCTCTCTCTATATATATATATATATATATGATTCTACAATTGATGTAGACATTACTGGTTAATATTGTGCTTAATTGTTTTTGCTTGGTTATGCTTCTCAGTGTTGAGGAAATCTATGAAAATAGCTCGTTAATTGGGTTTCCAATTTCATTTCTAAGAAGTTGGATTACATGTAAAAAAGTTGCAATTTCATTTGGAAAGCTGCAATTTTAGATGAAGCTCTAACTTGGGTGAGGAATTGATACTTGTAGAAGAAACAAAATTCCCTGTTAAAAATACATATCCTTAGTAAATTTTTGTTTTCATTTTTCCTTCAATTCTAACAGTTTTAATCAATTGATTCAAACAATCATGATATTGGATTCTCCATTATGGTTAGTAGTCTAGCTCATAGAACCTAGCCCATCATGGAATTTAATTTACTCATTATGACTTTACATGGACAATGATTTTTTTTCGCTTCCAATAGAAAACACAAATAGGCTCCCCCCCCCCCCCCCCCCCCCCCCCCTCTATATAAGGCTGCGAAACAGGTGTATATATCCTCAAATCCCAAGACTACAAAGTGGAATACTTTAATTTCTATCCAAAAAAAAAAAAAAAAACCCCCACCAAATGCTTGGCCACATCATAGGAATCTTAAGTTAATTTCTGCAACAAATGTAGATGAAGCATCTGAATCTATCTTCTAGAACTTGTAATACAAGTGTTTATTTTTGCAAGCTAATTAGTCAATTGGACTTGTTACTTTATATAGAACCTGAAAGAAAATTTGCTCAGTGGAGCACTCCTGCATATAGGTGTATACACAGTGATGAAGCTAGAAATCTGTTTCAATGAGGCATTAATAAATACTTGAATTCTACGCTTAAAAAATTGAGAAAACAAAATTATGACATAAGAATTTTTTAAAATCAAACCTGGTTTCAAGCATATTTACTCTTCAACTACACAAACTTTTATCTAAAAATAATTTTGTATTATCATTTTTTTCAGCAGGCTTAAAGTTTTTATTTTAATTGTACCTATTTGAAATAAAGACCTTTTTGTTAAGAAAATAATGATCTTTTCAACTAAGAGTTGTTGATGGCCGTTTTTGTTGTATCAGACCCATACAAGGGTCTAGGCCTAATGATTCTGTCCCGTGATGAGATGATTCTGTCCCGTGATGAGATTGGACTCGATTCGTGGACCCAAGCCACGCTCGAGAAAATTATGTGGGCCGTGAGTTGGTGGGCCATGGGTAATCAAACATGCTCATTTGTTTCTTAGTCCGATACGATTTTAAGTCCTGCTTAGGGGGTTTTAAAATACTTGGGCTAAGGAATGAATGGGTAATGGAGAATCCAACCCCAAAATCCTTTGTTTGTCCTTTGGGAGTCTTAGAAACCCTTTTCTCAGCATTTGGAAACTCAAAAGTCCAGAATTTAAGTTGTGGAATCTTCCTTTCCGACGCCAGATGAGAAGTTTTCTTACCTTGAAGTAGCTTCCTTCGGAATTGGCAAGAATTTATCTCCGTGATAGTTGTTGCTCTGAAAGCGTCACTGTGGAAGCCACCACGGAGGCATCACTGTAGATGCCCCGACAGAGATACTTCTCATGCTCCAAGAGATTTCTCTGTGACCGAAGATGCCTCTTATGCTTCGAGAGACTCCCCTGTGTCTGAAGGTTCTTCCTGTGCTCTATGGAGATTGAATATGTCAGGTGCTTCAATGACGACTATTTGGCCAAAACGCTCTGAAGCTTGTCTAACGTGTGTTCAGACCTTCGAGAATAGAAGCATCCCCGGAGCACTAGATTTAGTCAAACACTTCAGGATCTCCAGACCTGGGGAAGGTCCAATGTCAGCAAGAATGCTGGATTTGGTCTCCAAATACAACCATTTTTGGCCAATTTGTTTGTCAAAGAGGAAAGTCACCTGGTGCAGGTGCTCTGTGTTGGTAACCGAATCGAATTCGGATGCGGAAGCGTGGCAGGGAGGCGGATCAAGTATAACAAAAATTTTCATAAAACTTTTGAGATATTATATAGATTATATTAATTTATGCACGAATAAATTAATCTAATTAATTCATTTATTCAGAACTCAATCAGGAAAAATACATGGAGGCCGACTCGGATGATAACTTGAATTCTTTGACCTCGAACAGTCCTTGCTCTAAGCTTTGTGTTTAGAAAACCAAAGTCTTCCACGTCAATTCCTTGATTCCACGTAGACGTGTGTGTGGGCACACGAGAGACAAAACAGATTTAAAAAACACTCGAATTTCCACAAACACCAACGCATGCACGATGTGAAATTTTTTTTTTTGGGAGAAAAATTTTCCTTCTCTTGCTATAGGGAATTTCGGCCAGCCCCTTAAAGTCTAGGTTAAAAAAATTCATCCCGCGCAATTTTTCATCATCCCTTATTTATAGAGTAGAAGTCCAACTTCTAGAAGGAAACAAATCTCTCTCTCCTGTTTGAATTTTGAACAAAAAATTCTCCTCTATCCTTCTCTTGTGGCCGGCCATGCTAGGGATTCCTATCCCTGTGTGTGGTGCCAATTGCAGATAGGGAAGGAAGAGAAAATGATCCTTTATCCTGTAGTCCAATTTTAATTCAAATTCAAATTCGAATTTAAGTCAAACTTAAATTAATTTGAATTCTAAATTGAACAACTTATCAAATAAGTTTAAAAGGATAAATTTAAATTATGTTCATGATTCAAATTCAAATTTAAATAATCACATTATTTAAATAATAATTAATTCTTAATTAATTATTTTTTGAGTATTTAATTTTTAGAATTCCATAATTCTAAAATTTCCATTTTATCCTTTGTGTCTGGTAAAATTACAAGGACGACGCGGGGACTTATGGACCTATAATCCCGAGCTCCAATAAAATTAATAATTAATTAAACACTTTATTTAATTAATTAATTCTATTAATTCCAATAGTTATTCCACTATAAACTTGGAATTGAACTCTCAAAATTATAGACATTAATTACTTCTAAACTGCGAAGTGTCCATTTGATATAGTCATTACATATAGATCAATCCTCCATAAATAATTCATAATTAGAGTTAGGTAGAATCCGTTAACCTCTCTAATTATATCTTCATCATTGAGTACTATTGATTCTCTAATGGATAGTGATTCATAAAACACATTCATGAACCAGAGCGCTCTAACTAATCTAAGTACCGAATCAATACAAAAGAGAATTATTTATCTACTTCTTTCCCAAGAAGGAATGAATTCCGTCTCGTATAATAACATTCCCGGCTACCTATTTCATCATGTCTCCAAAATACAAGGAATAAGATTTAGGGTCTCAGAATCCGTACCGAGTAAATCAAAAGACACAAATCCATAAATACGAGTTTGTTAAGAACTCACAATTAAGATCATTCTATATATGACCATCGGCAGACTCAATTAGAATTTCTATGCTTAACGGAAATTATTAGAAATTCATATTGTGTCTGTGTCCCTGTTCCACACAATCTCATTATGCGAAATACACTCATTCAATATCTTACCATATTAACAGTGCAGATAGCACCTTTCCATTCTAAATGGGAATGACATGTATTAATAATGTTTTAATTAAAGATTCCGAACTTTAATTAAATTCATTATGAACAATGTTTTTGATTATTATCCTTAAACATTATCCTCTCGTATATAACACTTATATACTATGTTTAACGTTACATAAATAATCACGGAATTTTCATTTGATATTCATAAAATATTCATAAATATATGCACATAAAATGATGAATAAACTATTTTATTAATTAAATAATAAATATCCTATTACATCTCATGCTTCTAGGACACTATTCCCAACACTCTGGAGGGAAATGGTTCATACATGCCTCTAGTAAGGCGTGACTGTACGGCTCCAGAGTAACCACCCAAGACTCCCAAACCTTCTCCTATAAATACCGCTTAGCTTGTTCATTTCAGAAGACAGACATTACACTTTTGAGACCCTATTTGACACACATTCTTTCTGAGAGATTACAACTTGAGTTCATCCCTCTGAGAGTTATGCTCTTCGAATTTGAAGTCCTTCATAGAAATTTCACTCAAAAAGTCTCAAAACACTTCATTTGATCTATCCAAACTCGCCTACATGTTACATTTGAAGTTTCTGAGGTTTTTTCGGAGGTATGAAAATCCGCATCCGTGGCTGGACTCCGCCGTCCGGGAGCACACTTCCAAAAAACCATGAACCTCATCTACTGATACACATTCTCGGAGGCAATCTGTGTTTGTTCTCCGAGCACTCCTCTAAAACAACGTTATCTGCACTTTGCAAGTGAGACAGCTGCACCAGAGGCAACCTGTGCTTGTCCTCAGAGTATTCCTCATTTGAAACAGCCTTATCCGCACTTTGCGAGTCAAACAATAGCTCCGGAGGCAACCTGTGCTTGTATTCTTCCTCTAAAATAGCTTTATCTGCACTTTACGAGTCAGACAGCCGCTCCGGAGGCAACTCATGCTTGTCCTCGAAGCATTCCTTCTCTGAAACAGCCTTATCCACACTCTTTAAGCCAAATCTCCATCAACCGTTCGGTTACTCTTCCCACCATACTTCGTCCATACGATCTCCATGATTGAGTTCAACATTTTTCCATGCGCATAGTCAAGAGTGCCTCAGCAACTTTGCAGCAAAGTAGGCCGTAGAATCTTATTTCTTCAGCTAATTGATCCCATCTTCTTCGTTGGAGGTCCTACCGTACAAGGTCCTCTGTGAATGTCGCATGTTTTGTCCGCATCAGCATCGACACCATCGAATTCGGTACTTGCACGTGTATACCTTGTACATGTCGTACTCACCGAATCTACCGGGTCCAACAAGAATAAAATAAAAAGAAAATTATACGTGAATATAGCCAGCAATTCTCAAAACATTATATTTTCTTATTGTGCATAATCGTAGTAATATCTATAACATTTAATCAATAAAGAATAAGTTTATGTAACTACTAGTTGTTAAGCCAAAAGTTTTGAAGGACAACTACACAAACTTTCAACAAAATTTGTGTATAGAACAAAATTTAGGTGAGTAAAATATGTAATGATAAAAAGAGAGATTCACGAAGAGATTGTGAGAGAAATAAAAAATACATTTTATGATGGTT